ATATATATATATATACACCATTCAAATCAGCAATCAAATCTCTGGTTAGAATAAATTGATCAACAGCATTCGCATTTACCTTTTTAAACACATTACTCTGGGGAACACATTTTTTGTTTCATTTATAATAGTATTTAATCTTACGTAATTTCGGTGAGGGAATATAAAATCTGAAATTAGGTTCGCTCCGAAAGATGCAGATTATTTTCATAATGTAATTTTAAGTTTATGTGAAATTTTTTCTGAACGTGCAGTATCGTATCAGTTTGCATGCATGCATACACACTTTATAATTCAGTTTATTTTATTTTATTTTATTTTATTCTACTCTATTTTATTTTATTGCCGGTCGTTGAACAGCCGACACAATTTTGGGTTTACGGCTACTAAGGTTCAACTCCGTAGCCTAGCAATTTTGAGCCCAATCCAGAAGACAAGAGAACTCCTGAATCAAGTATTGGGAGAAATTTGCCTACATAAAGTATTGGGGGAATTTTCTTAAGTATTGGGAATCAAGTATTGGGGGAATTTTTCTTAAGAAACTAACCCGCATTTGCGTTATATTGAGAGGAAAAACATGAAAATGTTCCACGGTTAGCTGTGCAAAAGAGGTCTCTAACACATGATCTGTCTACCAATGAGGATATTTCACGTCAGCAGAGTGATCGGAGCGAGCCGAGTGCAGAATTCGTATCGACCATCCATCACTGGTATTTGAACCCGGCTCACCCCAATTGAAGGCGAAAGCTCTATCCCCTATGACATCACGGCTCTCACTACTCCTTTTAAAATAACACTTAAGACAAAAAATATATCCTAACGTATCGCATCATAAACTGAACTGGTTTACCACGTTTTTCTTACCACGCCCTTCATTGCGGAGAAGTGGGGACACTTAATATTCAGTCGAAAGAATTTCAAAAGAATAGAATATATCATTAAGTTGGATAAAAACTATAGTTTGTTGAGAGAAGTCAATTGCAGGTTTGAATTCAGCGACACAAAAATAACTAAAATCTGTTCCAATAGTCTCATGCAACAGGAAGAAAAAGAAACAAATTGCTCCCCAGTATTATCAATTCACTGTATGAAATGCAAAATCAAGCAAATTAAATTTTATTTTCTGGCATATTTGTGTCCAAACTCAATTTACTTTTTTTTCAGAACGTTTCTTTGGCAGCAATTGGCGTGATGTTCATTCAGTTTTATACAACGATAGCAGCTTACTTTGGTATAAAGACAAGTCTCGACAAGAGCAGGAAGGCGGCGTTATACTTAAAGATGCACCAGAACTTATAGCTTACGGAACCTACACATCACAAGTGCCTAACCGCCCACCTCTGCCGGATCATTATGAACCAAAACAGTTCCTTGCATTCGGAGTAAGAGGAAAAGATGTTGTTTATTGGTTCCTGTGTCCCAATCAGGAAGAAGTGGCGTAAGTAATTTTTATTTTATTTCATGAAACTCAAATAATGTATTGTAATTATAGTCAGAACTTAATGCAACACCTCTACACTATTTTTATTGTGTAAAACTTTAATAGCACATCTTAAGTATGCCCTCTAAGTCTGCAGCTACAGTGATAAAAATGGTGCTTAAATGAAGTAAAACGGTTATGCTATATAAGAGGAAACCGCTTACCGTGCCAAATACACTGAAGAGCCAAAAAACTGGCATACCTGCCTAATATCGTGTAGGGCCCCGGCGAGCACTCAGAAATGCCGCAACACGACGTGGCATGGATTCGATCAATGTGTGAAGTAGTGCTGGAGATAATTGACACCGTGAATCCTGCATGGCTGTCCATTAACCATTGGGAGTAAGAGGGAATGGGGATATCTTCTGAACATCACGTTGCAAGGTATCCCAAATATGTTGAATAATATTCATGTCCGGGGATTTTGGTGGCCAGCGGAAGTGTCTAAATTCAGGAGAGTGCTCTTGGATCCACTCCCAGACATGAGCATTATTGATCATATTTGGGATGATTTGCAATGCGATGTTCAGAAGATATTCCCATTCCCTCTTACTCCCAATGGTTTATGGACAGCCCTGCAGGATTCATGGTGTCAATTATCGCCAGCACTACTTCACATATTGATCGAATCCAAGCCACGTCGTGTTGCGGCACTTCTGCGTGCTCGCTGGGGCCCTACAAGATATTAGGCAGGTATACCAGTTTTTTTGGCTCTTCAGTGTATATTCATCAGCTTTTCTTGAGTAAATGATTTTATCTTTTGATAATTAACTTTTTTGAGCCCGTTACACTGTAAAAATATTTTGATCAAACTGCAACGAAAAATACCAGCGCTCACCGGCACGTTTTACCGAAATATCCATTTATTGGAACTTGTTACGGCTTTATAGTTTTTATTTACCGTACGGTTTGTTACGGTTGTATGTTACGGTTTGTAAGTGTTTATTTACCGCAGTTTTTTTAGTAATAACTACAGTAAAATCATTGAATCACTCTAATCAAAAAAATATTATTGTAAAAATTACGATATAGTATTTTACGGTAAAAATGGATTTTACGGATATTGAACTCAACTTTATACTACCCGTACTTTATACCGAAATTCAATCAAGGATTTTTTACAGTGTACGTTAATGTGCTGAAAGTCCCAAGCAAATAAATACGCATTAACCTCGAATGTTAGAACTTTTTAAGCACTGCTTGACAATTTCTAAGGAATAGTTACATTTTTCGGAATAAATAATAATAGACATTGATTGATGAAATGAAAACAAATGCATATTTAGTAGATACAATCTGCATTTATTATTATGCAAAATAGTTCAGATATCGACATATCGAAAATAATAAAATTAAAATATCTGCTCATTTCTAAATAGCCATGAAAAATGGATCATCTTGTCAGAATGAAACAGTTTCTTAGTAATATGTGTGATTACCTCGGACACTAGATGCAGTACGTGCTCTGACACTAGAAGATGCAATATGTGCTCGGACACTAGCACATATTGCATCTGTATGCTGCCCACTAAACTAATGAAGAGTCCGAATCAAAGATTCGTATATTGTCCCCCTCCTCCCTCAAGATGGTTTTCAGCACTAGCACGGTTTGGTAAAGGCGTGTTCCTTGTGAAACACGTCTACCAAGTACAACAGGCATTCTCTACGGGATTTAGGTCCGAGGAGTACACAGGCCATTGCATAGGCCAATATCTTAACTTTCTAGTGTATCCGATACCTCAGCGCACTTGTGTGGTCACGCATTGTCGTCCATAAATAAAAGTCTGAACCTACTATACCCCTAAAAAGACAAACATGATCAAGAATAATCCTTCTGCACTACCGCTGCGATGTAATGTTACTTCGCTACAAGATGCGAAGCGGTGCTCAGCCATTGAGCTAGACAAATGCCCATACCTGTCTGCGCAATATCGATCTATACGTCTGCGCCATATCTTGGTACACGGGAGGTCAAGGGACAAAACCGGGTTTGTCCCTCGACCTCCAGTGTGACAGACGTACCCGGACTGTTCTATCAAGGCTTGCTAGAGGTGACATCAAGTGCCTCACTTTCAACGAGGGCAGGAAAACCTTCGTCACCTGCACCCAGTGCCAAATTCATCAGGTTTCTCCTGAGCATCTCTTGAATTGCATGGGGCTCTCTAAGGAGGATCTCTTTAACAATCCTCTCCTAGTCTTCGACTTCCTTTCAGTCAACGAACTCGTGGATCTTGTCTGACTCCGTCAGACAGAGAGAATAAGCAACAACAACGTCTGCGCCACACCTATCACCTTCATAAACCTATTGTTGCGCACAATGCGCTCACCTTTCTCGCCACACTACCTGGTTACCAGAATCACTTTTCATAGTGAATCGGGATTCATCTGAGAACATCACTTTGGACCTTTACTGGTTATCCCAACCAATACGTTCCTTACACCAACGTAATCTCTCGCGACGATTGCATAATTAGAGCAGTTCCGTGAATGCAAATCAAATTGATTTTATCACCATGGAATTGTTCTTTGAGAAGCATGTGTACCAGTAGGGATTGCAAGGCCTGCAGCTATCAGCCTAGTAGTGACATTTTTGTTCCTTTCTGCTGCTGGGAATACATACATTTACTATTGAGGTGTGGTGTTCCTACAATGACCACCGGCATGCTATCGCATATCATCTCCACCTTCAGCGGTCTTTTTCAATCACGAGAAGACTATTTTTTGCTCTCCAGATAATACGTCTTCTGTGGTGATATGTTGACCAGCTTATCCACGATCGAGAATTCAAATGATATCTCAGTAACATTTTGCACTTAATTATTGTAATACCACACTGAATTTTACAGAAATAAGTTCAACAACCTATGGTGCTATCCTGATCAAATACCTAGGATTATGAATTTTGGAAGGAATGAAGTGATTGGGTGCACGGTCTTTCATGCAGATTTTATGCAGGTAACTGATACAGCTCTATCACGCCCTCTGCACTTGATTTTACAGTTATTGGTCGACTGTCAGTAACAGTACTTCGCATAAATCAGTTGTCCCTTAGCAAATGTCAAGCAATGTATAAATTACTGTTAACATATTATCACTTACGTTTGACATAAAAGGGTTCCATAATTGAATTCTTTTTTCACTTTAGTGGAACCAAAATGAAACAGGGAGACAGAAAAATCATAAACTGAAAATTACTATATTACATTAACTTTATTTCGAATGATGTTTCACAGGACACCCTCTTATTTTTTAAAAACATAACGAAAATAACAGTTTGAAACTTACTTTTTCCAACATTTAGAAAATTATTTAACCAATAACTAATTTCACTGTACTGCAGTTCCCAAATTTAATATCTCATCAACTTTATTTCCTACACAAGATACTGTTACTCATCAACACCCAAGCTCATCAATACATAAGTTACTCATGCGTACTTATCAGCAAAATATTAATCACTTCCATGTTGGAACTTCTTAATATCTTGTTGATAAGTTACATTTGCGAATATACAATAGGGCATTCATCTTCTATTGGGAATCATCTGTCTGTTACCCATGACTTCATAGGAATAATATTTCTTAAAATATCTCCCTTAAATGGTCTAATTTGAGTTGTACCTCCTGTATTCTTGGCTCTTGGGTTAAGCTTTTCTCCGAGGTCTTCTTATTTATTCAAAAAAAAAATATCTTGTAAAAAAATTAGCATTTGATAAATTACTTAAAACAAATATTCCTTTTTAATTTGTAAATTTTTTGATTCTTAATAAAGCTTTGTTTTATGATATTTCAGGAGCTGGATGGCATCAATTGCTTCAACGGTAAATTTATTTACTTTTTTAAAGATAATTTTTAATGATTACTGGTATTAACATTTCTTAAAGATATAGCTTGACATATTGATTAAGTACAGTATCAAACAAGATAAACAAGTTTCGCAAGTTTTTACAATAAAAAAGTGACTATTAAGTTACGAGAAATAATTTTCTTTTATTTTATCTAGAATAAACCAAATTTATTAAGTCATTTCTTGTAAACCTTTGTGTTTAATGAGTTCTATAATACATATTTTTATTACTGCTCATATTTTTATTTGTTTACTTAAGTTAAGTAAAGCTTTTTTTAACGAATAAATCTGTATACAGTATTACAATAAATTTAATATTAAATTATTATTATTTCTGTCCCACAATTTATTTATTCAAAAAACATACAGTTATTTTTTTCTGCTTTGTAGATCTTACGTGCTGAAATATTACTCCGACATATTTATTCAATTAATTCACTTTCTCAAAAGATTTCTATTTTTAACACACTTTTACATATAATTTGAATTAGACCTTCATTTCTTTTTGCATTTCGTTTTTTAGCTCATTAACCGAGTATCTGTAAGAATCATTTCATTCCATGAAACGCTATCCATTTTCGGCTAAGAATTCTCTTTAAAATTCAAAATTAAGCACCAACCCAAACTGCGGATTTGGCCATTTGGCATCATTAGAACATGCCAATTTTTTACTTAAATTTCTTGCAATTACCAAGCAATTTTCTTCAAGTTTCGAATTAATTTTACTTTTTCCTGTTACACTACATTTCAAATATATATCTCGCAGCTTTTGCATCCGATCAAAAAATGAAGCGGAAGTTAAATTTATCACATTTTTATAAATCTTTACTTAAATAAGCCAGATATTTCTATTTATCAATTATCGTGGTTATTGATTTGCTCACTGCTTTTCCCCCCTGCACGAACCTAATACTACATGATATTGAGATTCCATTATTTATATCAAACTATACTTGTCTTTTATAGCTTTGACATCCTACTCGCATTTCCTTAAAAGAAAGTTTTTCAACGTATTTGCATGTTCTGATGGTTTTTGCATATTTCAAAGTTCTAGATCAACTATATATAATTATATAAAATAATTATATACTAAATATAGTTTTTTTCAGATGCCACCTCCGCCAGGTGCTCCTCAAGAACCAACACCTGCAGAGAACAATTCTGTAGATAAAAGCAATGATCAAACTATAAATAACCATCAGATGATGCCTCAGGACACTATACTACCGCATCAGCCTATTTCCCAGCAACCTATGCAAGCACCACAATATGCACCACATCAACAACCGCCACCTCAATATACACCACATCAGGGACAGCCCCCAGCTTATGCTCCAAGATCATCACCAGGTATCAATCACAAGATACATTACAGTGTATACAAAAAGGGCTAAAAGTTTTTTTAAACTTAATATCATGATAAAGGTTAGAGTAATTAAATAATAATGATAACATCTGCTCATCTTGATGTCCTGGAATCTTTTTTTTTCATTTGAATGTTAACTCCCTTGTTAACGACATTAGTTTCTCTCTAACTCTCCATAACGCGTAGGAATGCATTTTACTCTGTTTTGGCCCTCGGCCACTATGATTCTTCCTGTTCTGGTTTTTAACTTTTTTTCTCTATCGGCTTCCGTGGTTTTTTTTATTTTGGTTCTCATTTTTATTTTTCTATTTTTTCGTGGCAATTTCACGTTTTTTTATTTCAAATCATTTTGTTTCTTTACATTCAAGCTTGGTAAGTCTTGAAAATAGGCGCCTATTTGTAAAGAGCTTAAAACATGTCAACTGTAATTTGTTTATTTCTGAAGGGAATGAAGTTTTCGATCAAGTAAGATCAGGTAAAAGTTAGAGTACTTGAAAAAATATTCTTTAAGAATTAAGAACGGGTAATGTGAGGAATGTTTGCATTATCTTTATTTTAACAATCTGTATGTAACAAATATACTATGAAAATATACAAGTATACTTTATTTTAACAATCTGTATGTAACAAATATACTATTAAAACATACAAATATACTTTATTTTAGCAATCTGTATGTAACAAATATACTATAAAAATATGCAAATGGACTTTATTTTAACAGTCTGTATGTAACAAATATACTATGAAAATATACAAATATACTTTATTTTAACAATCTGTATGTAACAAATACACTATGAAAACATACAAATATACTTTATTTTAACAATCTGTATGTAACAAATATACTATGAAAATATACAAATGTACTTTATTTTAACAATCTGTATGTAACAAATATACTATGAAAACATACAAATCTACTTTATTTTAACAATCTGTATGAAACAAATATACTACGAAAATATACAAATATACTTCATTTTAACAATCTGTATGTAGCAAATATACTATGAAAACATACAAATATACTTTATTTTAACAATCTTTATGTAACAAATATACTATGAAAATATACTTTATTTTAACAATCTGTTTGTAACAAATATACTGTGAGAAATTCTGGATCAAATTATGATAAAAAGTATCAGTAATTGTTACGTTTTACCTTAAAATCCATTTTTATCGAGACATGCTACGCAACAAAAAATCTAATTCACCGTAATTCTTACAGTAATAATTATCATAAAATCATTGAATCACTTTTATTAAATAAATATTACCGTAAAAGTTACGGTATAATATTTTAGGTTGAAAATGGATTTTACGGATGATGTACCCCAAAAGCCTGTACTTTATACCATAATTTGAGCCGAAATTTTTTACTGCATACATATTTATGAAACTTCAAATTCCTAAGGAACGTGGAAAGGCGAATATTTAAAATCATTTAAAATTATATTTAAGATTATTTTAAATTTAGGATTCATCAGAAATATTTTACTCCATCGGTAAAATTACTGCAAATCAATCACTTAAGTGTATACAGAAACGTTTCAGAAGCTTCGTGGGAAAAATAACAAATTTTTTTCGTTTTAATTTTATTTATGTTCACTCTTGGAAAAAATCTGTTCTACAGCAAACCATAAATTCGGTACTTTCAATCCTAACATCTAATCGCTATAATCGTCCTAATGCTAAAATGTGATACAGTTAAGCCTAAATCACAGATTTATTAATTTACTGAATAATGTGGTTCAACTTAGAACTATGAACTGTACAACTATGAACTGTATTGAGGATGTAACGTATTTGAATGATATTATGGTTCAACCTGCATCAATATTTCTGACAGTTTATATTGTTTAGACGTTTTGTGACAAACTGAACTAACGTAGTCGTCGAATGCAGACTGTTGCAATATGATTTTTAATAATATCACTAGATTTGCACGTAATAGTCTTTTAAATTTAGTACTAGCTGAAATGAAGGCGCTCATAAGAAAAACTTCTAACAACAGGATTTATTGAATTTAGCACTAGCATAAAAAAAGTTCTATTACAAACTTCTCACATAACGGCCGGTTAACTATAGTAAAATAATTAAGAGTTTCAATAAACATTTCTGAGATGACGATCGATTTTATTCAGTACTAGCATTAACAAATTTTCGAACGAATACCAACATAACAAAGTTGTTATCTTCACATTTTATATTGGATCAAGCCATTTATTTGTTCCCTTACGAAAAAAAGGTGTTTTTGAGGTTGTTTTGTTGTTGACTGATATCAAAAATACACCTGAGATAGAAAATGAGATTATGTTTTGCACCAAAAAAAACTCATTAATAAACCTTAATTTCAACCTCATTTGCACCTCAGAAAATCAGTCTCTTATGTAACTCAGAAATAATTTTAGTTTAGATCAGGAGGAGTTATTCACACCTCAAATATATTTATTTGCTTGCATTTCAGAAAAAATAATCCATACACCTCGAAAACAAGCTCCCTAAGCTCGGTTGCTCTGAAGGAGATTTCCATCAACCTCAAAACAACCTCAAGTGTGACTAAAACAACTTCATACACCTTCATTATACACTTCGGAAGGTTGATCTTTTAAGGTTGTTTTTGAAATCAACTTTGAATAAACCTCAAATCAACCTTGACCCCTCAAAACAGCCTCAAATATACCTTAAATCTCTGTAAGGGTTATTTGCTTAAAAAAAGAAGAAAAAAATACAATTTTGTTTTTCGAAACAAATATTTTTAAGAGAAATTTTATCATTTAAACAATTTGATTGAAAGCTATATCGAAGCTTAAATTGTTACAACATGCTGTATTGCTTTTTAAAAGTAAATAATTTTCGGCATTATAAAACAGTTAAAAGAAAAACAGTTGAAGCATAAATGAACAATTTTGTTTCAAAAGAAGATTGAGCTTGTTAATTTACAAATGGTAGCAACGGCTTTTAGCTTTCATTCGCATTTTTAGATAAAATTATTATATGCATAAAACCATCTAAATCCTTTTCATTTTGCTCAGCGAATAAAGCGGTTTTGCTGCAAAGCCAGATAAGTAATGAAATCCATATTGTAAGAATATCATTGTTTTAGAAGATAGAGCTTATTAATTTACAGATGGTAGCAATGACTTTTAGCTTTGATCCGCATTTCAAGATAAATTATTATATGCATGAAACCATCTAGATCCTTTTCATTTTGCTCAACAAATAAAGTGGTTTTGTTACACAGCCAGATAAGTAATGAAATCCATATTGTATTACTATCATATTTTTATTTTTTCCTATAACTTCCATATTATGATACTGAAAGAGAAATAAAAAAATTCCTAACCATTACTACAAAAATCTTAAAAGTAGAGGTTCTAAAAAAATAAGCACTAAAATCCTTTTTCATACTAAAAATATGATATTAGTCTTCCGTCTTTACTTGCTGAAAGCTACGGGAGAGCAATTTTCTTATTTATTCAGTAATTAATAATGCATTCGAACGATTTTTACGTTCTATTGAACTTAGTTAAGTAACATTAAATTTGAAAATTGCAAGTTTTTTTTTTTAAACTTGAACTTTGAATACTTACAATCTTTACTCGAACACATTTGAATAAATAAAATGAAACAATATTTATTCAAAAATGATAATTATTTAACTGAATAAGTACGAAAATTCTAGACATGCAATTTTCCGCAGATTAATATAAAAAAAGCAAAATCCCTTTTCTTTTTTTTGGTTTTGTTTTTGTTTGAAGGAGCCTTTAAATTTAAATGTTCAGAAAGAGGATTTTTTAATGAAATTACAATGTATTTATTTAGTATTAATTATACTGTTAATTATAATAGCATTAATTATAATGCTCGTTATAGTAAATATTATACAATTATGCTCGTATTAATTATGTGCTTTTTTTTCCAGGAAATCCAGCTCAATACCCACCACCTTCCGGATACCGCCCTCTTCCCTATCAAGGTTACAATCAAATACAACCACAGCCTTACCTAGCTCCTGCAGCAGGGGGAACTACAGTGGTAGTTCAACAAGATCGTCCAAACTATGTTGGGGGTGGTGGATTAGGAGGTGGTGAATTTGCTATGGGCATGCTTGCAGGTGGTGTTCTTGGTACAGCTTGGGGTTCGAGATCTTATTTTGGTGGAGGATTTGGTGGTGGATTTGGTGGAGGATCTGGTTGGGGACATGGTTCCGGTTGGAATCATCATCATAGTACTCAAGATAACGACGTAACAATCAATAACTATTACGACAACGATACTACTATCGTAAATAATAATCTGGACATGACTAATAACACTGCTATAGAACAGGCACAAGCACCTCAAGCACTTCCTTTGCAGGAAACAACTGCTGTTGAACAATATGTGCCTGTGGAAAATAACATCAGTACAGATTATGATGGTGGATATAGTGGAGGAGGGTATGATGATGGATGCGACTATTTTGGTGGTGGAGGGGATTTTGGAGGAGATTTCGGAGGCGGTGACTTTGGAGGAGGTGATTTTGGAGGTGCTATTGGCTTTTAAGAAAACAGATATGCAATCGTGGTTTTAAGGCTTTTGTATAAAACATTTTTATATGGAAGTTCCTTAAGCGAGAAACAAATGCATGTGTTGCATGTGTTCTATTGCACTTTTTGATGAATTGTTTGTATTAAAATTAATATTGCACTTATTTATAAACATTGTTTGTATCACGAAATACGTATAATAACTAAAGTACGCTTAATTGTGTCTAGAAGGCACAAAAAGGATTCCAAAATACTCTTAAGAGGTTACACAAATTTTTACATTTGTCATTGAAAAATTGCCCCTTTTCCTTTTTTCAGCTTAAATGAGAGCGTTTCTTTACATTAAATACGAAACACAAAAGTTTTTGAGAACTACAGCAAGTCTTCAGTTTAGCATAAGTTCAGTTTATATGTATTCCAAGAAATATTTTATGCTTTTTGCATCAAGATACCATTACAAGATCTTTCAAATATCTGCAAAAAGAATTATTCAAACGAGACTAAATTGCAATGATTGTAAATTAAATGTTCTAAAACTTAATGATTTAACACACTATAATAACTTGATATTAGTAATATTATACGGCAAATGAAGTACACTTTAGATTTATTATACGTAAATATTTGTTGATTCGTATAATAATATGGTAATGTAAAAGTTTGAAGCAATCTATTCATAAATTTATACAGTTAAAAATTTATACAAGATAATACAATATATTTTAGAGCTTATTTTGTTTTTTTTTAAAAATGTTAGATGTTTAAATTTTACTTTCCTTCAAAACTGTTCTTCTCCAATTGGGCCAACAAATAATTTGTCATAAAAAACTTAATTGTATCTTTAATAATATTAATTTCAGCTTTACTAGAATTTTTTTGAAATAAAATAATTAATAGATTCAGTACTATTATGTTTAAAACTATTTTGTTTACGAAACCTTTAACAAGATAGGCTTTAAAAGTGTTTATTAAATGCTGAAAATAATTTTTTAAAACAAAATAATCACAATTGAATAAATTTATCTTCTGTGTTCAAACATATTTAGTTAATGAAATTTGTTGCAAGCCTGATTTAAAATATATTTTTTTATTGCTTGGAAAACAATGTTTCCGCTATGTTAGTTAAAATCATTTTTTTGTGTTATTTCTTTCAATACAAAATGCACGGTACGTTGGAAATATTTCGTCTATATAAGTATAGTTCAAGTTTATATTAAATGTTTTCAGTCAATTACCTATTTGTTCTCTTTTTAGCATATATATTTAAAAATAGAAAATACCAGCATGTATCCATAGATTTGTTAATAATCTCGGCATGATAATAATCTTTCGTTTTTTTCTCCTATTAATGTTAGCTGTTAATATGTTTACCGTGTTGTAAATATGTCAATAGGCTTAAAAAATATTCTTATTATATTACGTGTACCATTACCCAAGCAACGCACCTATCATATAAGAAAACAGATTAAAAGTATTTCTGAATAAACTTAAAATTGGATAGGAAAAATTCCTAACGTAAAAATTGGCAGCACTTAATCATTAACTTTCAAATACAACACCAAATACAACAACTTACAAAGAACGTAGAAAGAAAACAAAAAGTAAGGTCAACTATAAGAATTAATAAAATTAGAAATGTAGTATCACTATCCAGGATGAAAATCTTTTCTTAATTTTTGAAATTCAAATTATTACAAAAAAATTTAAATTATGACATGATTACACTTAAAATTACGCATTCAACATTAAGTGAAATATTGACTTGAAATTATTACTATTACTATGCAAAAATATTTACTTAGAAAAAAATTAATTAAATATTTTTCCCTAAATTATTCAAAATTATTCACACTGTTAAAAAAAACTTACCGCTACTGTGTTGGTTCACAACAGTTAATATAGTCACGGTTTCAGTTAAATTACACGCAAGTGTTCGTTTTTTTTAAGTTTTACTTAATAACGAAAAAAACATTAATTCATTTCCATAATGTTGATAATTTTCATAAAATTGCTGCTGTGTATATATACGTTAATAATTGCAAAGAAAAATTCAGTTATATCTCGTTAAGAATATTTAAAAATTTCATTGATTTTTATGAATTCTATAAAACGTCATTTCTCTTTTATTTATTGCAAATTTACCAAAATTTCCAAAACACTATCCTAAATAAAAATCTGATTTCTGAAAATAAAACAGGCCGGGAGCTGTATTTCGTTATTTTTGACAATCATTTATTTACGAAATCGTGCGTCTTTGACGAAATGCGAACTTTTAGATATTTGACGGAATTGCTTCCTCCTCCGTGTATCATCTTCGTGTCGTGTGCGAAATTAAAATAACAATAGGTCTTAAAATTTCAATTTTGATTTCGAAAAAAGATGAAAAAATTTCTCCAATCTGCATCTGAAAAATGATTATTTTTTCTTTCTTTTAATGCTGTAGCATTCTTGTAATTTTGCTAAATTTAAATTGATATTTTTTCATTGTTTGTGTGAAATATTAGAAAAGACTTAATTAACAGCTTTATTGCCAGTTAATCTAATTAACTAATTAATTAAATTTCTAAGTATTAACTAATTTTAACCAGGCATGACACATATGTCACGGAAATTGTGATAATTCTATAAGAATTCCTCTAACTTGAAAAAGGACTGTTTTCATATTAAGTAAATATTTTTTACTCTTTTCAAAAATCAAATAGTAGCTAACAGAAGAAAATATTCATTTCCTTAAAAAAAATCCCTTTTTCGACAATGGCCGACATATTCCCATTATTCCCAAGGAAACTGTTTCGTCAAAAACGTAGAAAATTTTTTCGAAGTTCGAATAATCACTTTTTTGAGTGAAGATTGACTTAATATATATGTATGTATATAAAATTCATTATAAAAATTATCTTTTAACTATTACATTGGCCTTAAATCTTATAATTAATTCGTATTTACTAGAATTGATGAAAAATGCTAAAACATGTTATAAATATTTAAAATATGATTAAAAACTGTAAATATGTTTACAGTTTAAAACTATTAGAATTCTTTTGTATAATAAATTCATGAAGTTTGAAAAAATCTAGTTGAAGATTTTATAAAAAAAAAATTATTATTTTTATAAAAATAGACTTTCCCTGTAATATTTAAAAATATTTTTCTCACATCTACTAAACGAAAAAGACATTTGAAAATGTATATTTCAGAAGGATTTAAAGCAAGAGGGTATTTTGTTTTAATATACATATTTTCTATTGTAAACGGTTACCCTGTATGCCCAAAAATTAATAGTGAGATATCATTATAAAACTAATTGTATCTAAAAATCAAATTGTTTAAAGCAATAAATGCTTTTAACTCTTTTTAATTATTTAATATGAAATTTTATTAAAATTAAATTTATATTTGTAGAAAATTCAAAGTATTAAAGGTATTGATTCTTGATATTTTGTGTTTTATTCTGTAGTTGCATGAAAAAATTGCACATGAATCGTTTATTTCAGAAACCCGTTATATTTTCTTTTTAGCAAAATTCTTAATCCAGAAGACATATTGATTTTTTTAATGTCAACGATGAGTTTTTAAGGAGAATATTTGATTATTTCAAAACCGTAATGGGACTTAATAGCATGAAAAACTTCGTGTTTTGAAGTTTTTAATTTAGCTTAAGTGTTGTAAAATAAAAGTATTTATAAACAAGAAAAGATCCGAATTGATTGATGAAAATATAAAAGATAACCTAAAGCTAAGTGTTTAATCCAAAAATAAAAAGATAATCCAAAATTAATTAATTTTACTCCCATAATTCCAATTTTGAAAATTTATTTTTGAAATATTATACAGTGCTTTAAAGTTTATAATAATTGAAATTTTTTTCAAAATTGAACTGGCGAAAAATGTTTCCTCCCAAGAGCAATGAAAATAGAATGAATTACAAATTCAAAGCTTAAACAAGAAAACACAAAACAAATACATAAATGTAAAATGCTTACAAACTATAGAATAAAAACATCACAATGCTTAAACTAGCTGACCTTTCTGAAAATACTATGAAATCTAAAATACTTTTAAATTCTGTATATGAGTAAAACTTTAACGAATGCTGGTATGCTGAAGCATTTATCTAAACACAATTAAATTAAAAGAAAAGAAAATTATTCATATAGTTAAGATATAAAAATTAGCTTGCATTACGGACATTACAGAAGCATCAAGTTCAATGAAATAACAATGAAATTTAGATGGAATCAACCCATAAATACTGAAAAAAAACTGATATATTATATGATTAACCAAACTAAACTGTCTTTGCTGAAAGATAATTCAAATAGTAAAATTTTCAAAATATAAGTTATAAATAAATATCTTCATAAAAGACATAAGTGACAAACTATTTATTGAAGATTTCGTTCAAAAATAATAAATTTTAATTCTATTTTTAAATATGCGAATTAATAGTAAAAAAATAGCTTAAGGTGAACGATCATAACAAAGTTTTTCATCAAACATTATTAGAAGTAAGTAATTTTTAAAATCTGTGTACAAACAGAATGTAAATAACATCTGATTTAAGATCTAAGCAACCTTAAGGCAATTGTTACAACATTTTGAAAATCAAATATTAAAATCAATGTATAAATTATATTCTTATAATTACAGACAAAACTGGCATAATATTTAAACAGACATACAAAATTCTGCTTCTCAAGCATAATTAAAATCAAATAAATATCAAATTCCAAATATAATTCAGATTTAAATAAATATTTAAGTGCATGTCTACAATGCAATTAGCATTTCAAGCTAATTCAAAAAATAAATATATGAGATCAAAACTTTTAAGATCAAAAATTATGAGATCAAAACTTAACGAGATCAAAACTTTTACTTCAAAAAATAAATGTATGAGATCAAAACTTTCACGATCAAAAATTATGAGATCAAAACTTAGCGAGATCAAAACTTTTACTTGAAAAAATAAATGGATGATATCAAAACTTTTACTTCAAAAAATAAATGTATGAGATCAAAACTTTTACGATCAAAAATTATGAGATCAAAACTCAACGAGATCAAAACATTTACTTACTTAAAAATAAAAAAAATTTATGGTCCATAAAGAAAAATTCATCTTTTTACATTGAATGTAGTTTGTTAAGGGATTTATGAATACCGAGGGATTTTGTTAAGGGATAATTATTAAAAGATTTAAGAATACCAAGTATGTTTTCTTAATACCATGTTTGTGACACATATTTGTTTTATGCATAACATTAACAACCAAATATTTATTCATAAAACCTTATCGTTTTTAGTCGTTTACTTTCTGAACTCAGATTTTGTTACAATGGGAAAAGGAAATCAATCAAGTGATAGCCTATATGTGATTAAATTAAATAAATATTTTATTCACTTTGCAACTAATTTGGTGTTATAATATAACAACAGGAACATTTGAAAATCAAATAAAGATTTTTGGTTTTGTTGAAATATATTGTTGGGTACGAAAGTTTTAATGGCACAAAATTAATCTTACCAATGAAATAAATAAGTTACCAGTCTTTATCATTTCGAACAAAAAAAAGACTTGTTCCAAAAATGGAACACTGGCTGAGGATGATGTTTAACGCAGTTTCGAAAAATAAACGGTTCAATTGTATACGAAATCGTTAAATTACATAATTTCAATTTATATACTTACATAGATGACACAGAGCTTCCAGAGTTGCCAGCCTACCAAGATGCAGCTGAAAATAGGGAAAATATTGAACAACCAGATTTATTGGAAGGGACTGATAATACCGGAAATTACGAGCAACCGGATCTTATCGAAGTGTCAGGAGGTTACGATACTTTAGAGCAACCGGAAGAACCAGAAAATTATGAAAATTATGGGCAATCAGATTTTATGGATGATTCCGATGTCTACGATATAGAGGAAGCTTCAAATTTTGAGTTTGATGTAGAGTAGAAAATTGTGATAGTGCAATGTGATATAGAAACTTATATTTTTAAAACAATAGTTTCAATAAATAAAAAAAAAATTGTTCATATATCATTTATGTTATGCGAATTTAATTTAAATCAAAATCAAAACATAATTTTACATCATAATCAGAACATAATTTTACAAAGTTTATTTTTTATTTTTTATTTATTTTTTTTTTTTATTTTATTTCTAACGGCAGAAATCGACAAACTCTTAACAAGAAGAATAAACATAGATAAGAGAAAAAAATCAATGACTCATTAGCAGATGTCTAGCACTCCAATATCTGTTCCCCTCGGAGTTCCCATGTACAGCCGAACATCCCATCAAGTGCTTCCTATCCATTACTTCGAATTTCCTACCGAGTGGGCAATTCGGACTCGTAAAACTACCAATGCGGTGGAGGTGGTGCGCAAGACAGTCATGACCCACCGCAAGTCTAAATGCTGCCCCAGCCTTCTCACGGGGTCTGTCTGGAACGCCCCGGTCTAAAATGTTCTCCCAAATTTTCAGGGATATGCGGGAAGAAAAGGACACTTTCCAATTTCTCCACATTAAATTTTTGATGTAAATTTTCGTGGAATGAAATGATCTATATATATTTTACAACGTTAAAAACATGTATTTTTAATTTTAATCTAAATGCATTTTTTTTTAATAAACACCCTAAAAGTTCATAATTAGACATCAGTTAAGTCAATAGGAAGCAAATAAATTTTTTAATAAAATCGGCTAAATGGATTTTCTAATATAAAATTCAATACAAATTTTAAGAAAAGTGTAAACTAATATAAATACTTCTATAGTTCCAAAAAACAGGGAAAATCTCTCACTCTCTCTCTGCATATAACGGAGGAGTCTTTAGAAAAATCCATGAAGTTGAATTTTATTAAAATCAAAGGAGTTTTACCCCAACTGTTTCATAAAAAGCATGTAACCAAAAAAAAGACAAGAAAATGGAAAAAATTTAGCTACGGAATAGGTAAAAATGGAAGTAGTTCTCTAAGTTCTAAGTAAAAAAAATAGTAAGTAAAACAAATACTAAGTACTAAGTAAAACAAATCGCACAGCATAAATTATATAAAAGTGGACTATCCTGAAAATTTATAAATTTTCACCACATACAGTATTGTAAACTTGGAACTTTAGATAAAGAAAATCACCTTAGAAAGATCTAAGTATGACTAACACTGAAGTGTTTCGGTCTAATCTCCCTATCTCTATTCTGACGTTTCAATAAAGTTCTTCTCTTTATAGCATAAAATATTTAACAACTTTAAAATTAAAAATTATAATAATAATAGAATGTTTGTTAGTTTGCTTTTAACTTTCGTTTCTACACAACTAATAGCTTAGTTTGCTTTAGCTGTTCGTCGCCAAAGCTTGAAACAAATTTCATTCTTCAATTAAAAATAAAATACTATTAATAATCAATAAAATATATTTTAAAGGTAAAATTTACTACACGAAATTTTTGACCAATGGGTATACGTCAACCTCTCCCACTTACTGCGTGTGGTTGCACTCTGAGGGAGCGAGCACGGAGTGAGAGGGTGGTGGATTTTCCTCTAGCATGCGCATTGTGCACATCATCTCTGCAGATTCTAATGCGAAAGTATGGAATTCGGCCTTCTGTTTTCCTTCGCTCCTTCAGTGTGCAACTTACCTAATTCTACTATTGCATTAAGGGGACAATGAATGTTCAAAACAAAAAATTTGCAATTTTTATTCACTACACATTTTATCAGAATATCGGTTGTATATTAATGCATGTCTGAGTACAAACTTTAAAAAAAAAAAAATTTAAAGTAAGAGCTGAAAGTTTTTTTTCCTTTTTGATGCATTACTTTTGAACTCTCTAGTCCGAAAATATCACGGGCACGAGAAATATGAGACAAAAGCCCATCAGTGATTCTTATTTTTTTGGGGGGGGGGTGAGAGGGAAGTGGCTAATATGTAGATTTTTACAAATTCAAATCCTTTTTTAACTCGATAAAGGAAACTCTGATTTGAAAACGATTGATTTCATATTATTTAGTAAAATGGGAATTTTTTTTAATATTTCAAAATCCAAATAATTGATTTTAAAGGATTTTTTCTCCCTCTGAGCACATACATTGCCCCTTTAATATATTGTGCACTAATTACTATTATCAAATTCTTGGGCCATCAATTTCATTCAGAATTACAATAAATATAAAATGATAAAAGAAACTAAAAAAGATTCTCAGATTCTCAGAATAGTAGCAAAAACAAGGGTGGAGCTAATCTTTCTAGGAAACAAAATTCAAAATTACGATTCATTTCATCTTTCGAGATACGCGTTTCGAATACAAATGAAGGAAGGGAATCGAAAAGTTAAATTATAATCTTTTCTGTGTGGTTTTTCTATGCCGATTTATGTAACGTTTTACTTAACTACTGAAAATTATAAACGTGCACGCAATTCAACATAATTATCGCTGCAGCATATTAATTAAAATATTATGCATTTACCATCATTTTATCGAAAGCTGAATATTTTTACAAAATTAGCCTTATTTAGCTGTAAATATTATTTTTGTAACCTGTATTACTCTGTAAATTATTGCGACGAATAATTTAAACAAATGCTTAAAATATCAAATAGCTTGCAAAAATATTTAAAACAAATATTAAATAATTTACGGAAATATTTTAAATATTAAATAGTGTGTAAAAATATTTAAAATATCAAATAATGGCGAAAATTATTTTAAAATCACGAAAGCAAATGTATTAGATACACCATACATACCATAAAGTGTAATGTTTATTTTATTTTATATTTCATTGAACAGCTGACCCAGTTTATTGGGTTTAAGACTAGTAATTTTCAACTCCGTAGCCTTGTAATTTTGAACCCTATCCAGAAGACAAGGGAACTCCTGGATCAAGTATTGGGAGAAATTTGCCTTCGTGGAGGACTTTTGGATGGAAATAACCTGCCTTTGAGTTACATGGAGAGTCAAACCACGAAAACCTCCCATGGTTAGCCTGGGTGCAAGGGAACTTTTTTTTTTTTTTTAATGGCGGGCACTTGGAGCTATTGTCCATTGGCCACAGAAAGTGCCAGAACTGCTAATTCTCTTTTCGTTACCCAGTGGGCACCTGTGGCGAAGCCACGGCGGTGGAACAGCGTCGCCCACGTCACACTACCACAACCCGTTTATAGGGCAGGTCACATTCACACATTCACACACAAAGGAGAAAGGACATAGAACACAGATAGAGGGAAAGAAACATCCATGCCTTGCCCGGGATTCGAACCCAGAACCTTTCTGATGCAAGGACAGTTCCCTGCCCGCAAGGGAACTATAACCCGTAATCCGTCTATCACTGAGGATATTTTTACGACAGCATATTTTTACGGTCGGGGCAAGCCGGATGCGGAATTCGCGTCAACCAGCCACTGCTGTTATTTGAACCCGGTTAAATTCATTGGCAGGCGAAAGCTCTATCCACTATGTATAAATGTTTCATGAAAATCGCAATTAAAGTCTTTTCTTAAGAAAAATAAACAGAAAGGTTCTGGGTTCGAATCCCGGGAATGGCATGGACGTTCTTTCATTCTTTATACTATCTGTCCTTACTGTTGGGGCAACGTTGCTCCCCCTAATATGGTACCCCTGAAAAAGTGGCCAACAAATCTGCCCTTCAGATGCCTGTATGACGAAAGATCATTCTCCAGGTAGGCATTGGAAAAAGAAATGATAATTAAAAAGTTATATTTGTAAGTGATTCTTCCAAAATATATCTAGTACAAACTTAAGGCGTTTATTTTTATAGACTGGAGAAAAATTTAAGGGAGGGTTTGCAGAATTTTTCTAAGTTGCAGTAACTAAAACTATTCAAACTATTATATATGTAAATAAAAGCAACAGTACCGTGATGGCTCAGGTGATAAAGCACTCGCCTTCCAACGAGGATACATATTTAAAATGACCTTTGACCAGCGTTTTGCAACATTTACTGTCCAAGAGCATCAGAAGAGTTAGAAATTCAGACACTTACTGATTGACAGTGTTGCAATCCGACAATTAGAACTTCTAAGAAGTATAATCTTTTGCAATATTCTTTAACCTGAGAGTCAAAAAAATTCTGTTCTTTTAATTTATCTTAGTATTTAAAGCTTTAACTGCTTATATGATGGGAAATTTGAATAATTCAGTATCAGAAAGTGTTGAATGACATATTTTAACTTGTCGCCTCGTTTTATATAGAATTATCGTTACGTTTTATTCCTTATAAAGATCACCTGTGTAGGCGTTACTTTAATTGATATTAATGAAAGTAACAACTACTTTATATCTTCCCTGACTGATTCATCAGTTTCGTCATGAAAAGTAACGCCTACTTTTTACAGCTGACATTGCAACTTACAGCCAGGGGTGAAAGCGAGACGGAAAAGAGGAAAGGCTGGTAGTAAAAGCTTTTCAGTTATAGCTAGTTTTTGGGAGGAGTTTACTTATTCTTTTTAAAACTATTCAACAATATCTACATTATCCTTGTAAAATAAGCAGTTTCATATATAGACTAAAATTATAAAAGAAATCTTGATAGTTACAGATACTTTATTTTTCTCCAAAAAAATTCTAAAATGAAATGTCTTTCGTACCAGTTTTTGCACTTTTCCGTATTGCTATATAAGGGCTTTCAGCCATGCTTACAGCGCCTGTGAGAATATTTTCTTTGATGGTTATACAGGACCTTAGAGTACTGAAAAAAAGGTAGAAATTCTATGTATTTCCGTACACAGCCGCGAAGCGGCTTTAACCGATTCATCGATGTTGAGATAAGGAAATTTTTCTCTTGTGGTAGTTAAGTTTATGTTTTATTGTATTATACTTTATTTTCAAAATTTTGTAATTGCAAATCCATAAACTGTGGGAACTTTAATTTTAATTGCCTATCACCCTATAAAATATTTCTCAAAAAGCGTAGTAGTTTCAAGTCCTGGTTACATCATTTTAAGAGAGATTTTGCCTA